CTTCCTTTAAGAAGTTAAAAATAGTAAGAGCAAGATTAATTATGATATTGTATGTAAGGAATACTAAGAGATTCTTGTTATGCCAATTAAGCGTTTCAAGTTCTTTCTCTCTTGGGAGGAGATTTGTCACTATAAATTGAAACTAAAATTATGAAATTATGAGTAGAGAAGCGGGAATGGTGGACTTATCTTTGTTGGCATAAATTCGATGAAACTGGGTTGAGCAGACATTGTTGAATCTATAATGTTCAACACAACTACCAAACTCTTCACAGTCTATTGTCATAGCAATCAATGATGGAGTAATAAAGAAATGAGAGTCATTGACACTAGACTAGATGACTTCATCGTCACCAGCTAACACTACGGAGGCATTCATCAAGAACTCTTTAACGAGATCAATGTAGATGAGGCCATTTAGAATGTGAAAGTAACCATTTAACCTTTGTTTGTTAACAACTTTCCTTAGATCGAAACTATATGAATCATTGAAATCCACAAAATTTTCGTTGATAACGAACAAAAGGTTTGTATCCATTTTTTTATAAAAAAATAAGACTTTGAAACAAGAAAACAATACATAGAAAGTTGGAAATAAGACGTTGGAAATAGGAAAAGACTTATGAATAAGGAAAAAATACACAAAGAGTTGAAATTGAAACGTTTAAATAGCCCAAAAACCTCCTTGAAAATCCAAAAGATACGATACAATTTGAATATAGATGATCATTGCTATTCTAGCGATATGATTTCAATGCATGCGCGCTACGTTTTAGTTTTTAAAACAACGTCTTACCTCAGAGTAACATAATTGAGGAGAAAAAAATGCTGAAACCTCTCTTTTTATTATATTTTTTATTTATAAATTAAATGGTTTATCATGTCAGTTTTCTTAATAATCGAGGGGAGCTTTGCGTTAAAAATTAAGGATATTTATCACCGTTCTGTACTCAAATTCTTGCCAACCATTTCATGGTTATCAACGCTCAAGACACTATCATTAGTGATCCAGTGAACATAAATAACTTATATTATAAAATCATTCTGTACATCAAAAATTGATAATGAAATATCATGAATCGCTTGAAACTATCCTCCAATTTAAAGTTTGCAAGATTTTTTGCCATGAAGAGATCTATATGACGGATTGCAAGCGCAAAAAATTATTTGGATATAAGGTTTATATTTTCATCAGAAAATTATTTATTTATCTAACCCCTTTTTTGTTCATATCAGAAACAAATACAAGGAAAAATCATTGAGAATATACTTGCACCAAGCATTTTATCTTCCCTATGATATCAAGGATTTAAAGATCCAACATATGATTTTCATGGAAAAATTAATTTTTATTTTATTATTCTGTGTAAACAATGTAATAGTCTGGGTAAAAATTATAGTTTGTAAATAAATTATTTTATTAATTTTATGTGTAAACAATATAACGTGTTTAAATTATAAAAAAAATCTAACTTACCCCTCGATTATATTTTTAACCAAGATGGTTGAGATGCTAGTTTTGTAAATAATAAAAGTGCAGACGCTGGGGTTTAAACCCATACAAAATAAATTTACCTCTCGGTTTTTAAAAGACCAAAGTGATAAGTGGCGGCTTCTCATGACAACCTTCGTTACCTCGTTTCTTTAGCCGAGATAAAACGTATTTCATGTCTGAAGTTAAAAGCGTTTTTTGTAGTAGTGAAGACACATGACTACCAGATACACGTTCCATTTTCTCTAAGACTCAAAGAAAATCACTCTCACGGCCAAAATTTGGTATTTCTAAAGACAATATCCACTTCTTTAATCTCACCCTTAAATAGAATATCATTCTTTATAAGCCAAATGGACCAACCTGATGTCAACCAAAACAGACCATTTGAACTGTCTTTGATTCTTCCTTTTTTTTTTGAAAAATCCTGTAGTGCTTTATAATTAAATCCCCTCAAATTCAATACCAATCCAAGAACACATATTCCTCCATGTTAGGGCACCAAATTAGCAATACAAGAAGAGATGGTCAATTGTCTCATCTTTTTCAAAGCATACTTGACAAATTGAACTATGATTACCACAGATGACCCATCGCTTTTGTATTTCCATTCTTTTGGGCAGCCTGTTTAGGAATGCAGTCTATTTAGGAATAACCTCCATCCCAACAATTGAGTTTCATTTGGAACCTTTTTTTCCACAACAAATCCAATTCATGTTGCACTTCTAATGACACCTGATAACCTGCATTGAAACTCACAGAAAGCCAATGGTAACTCGAACTGATCGAAAAACACTTTACATTCTGCCACCATACAAAATCATCTTCAACATATTGTTTCAAGTTCACTCCATGCAACAAAGTAATCAACTCCTCCTACTGGACTGCTACTTCAGTTGTTTCACTAATACCATCTATGTAGATGTGCCACTCTCATTCATTCTCAAACCAAGCCCCCATGTTAGCAACCTTTACATCAACATATGAGTTGAGCAGATAAAGGCATCAGGATATACTTTTCATAAAGCCTTAGGCCCCAACCAATTAAATTTTAATAAAACTACTCTTCCTCTTATGGACAAATTCCTTCTATTCCAAATATGAAATATGTTCCAAGGCTTGATAATGATATGCTTCCAAGTTGATCTTCTTTTGGGATTGGCACCTGCAGGTATTCCTGAAAAAAGAAAACGAATTGATCAAATACAAAAAGATAGAAAACTAGCTGTAACTTGCATTAAGGAATCATGTAGGTTGATGCTAAGTAAATTTATCTTGTGTAAATCAACTCTTAATCCAGACACCAGCTCAAATCCATGCATGATGGCTTTAATGCTCCATAAATTTGACCAATCCCCATAAGATATGAGCATCTTGTCATCAACAAATTGCATGATCTCAAAATGAATATCCTCATTGATCTTAAAAGCTCGGTACCCACCCAATTAAATGGCATTTCAAACCAGTCTAGGTAATCATTCAACACCTAAGAGGAATAAAAATGTATACATTGGATTCCCCTTGGCACATGCCTCTACGAGCTTGAAAATCCATAGTAAGGTTACCATAACAAGGATTGACATGAAACTTGTGAAATCATAAGCTTCCATCCACCTCATCCATCTTGATCCAAAACCCATCCTTCTCATAATGTATATAATATAAGCCCAACTCACACTATCATAAGCCTTTTCTAAGTATATCTTCGTTAGCTTACACTCCTTCTTGTTCCTTATTGCTAAATCCATAATCTCATTAAACACTAATACTCTATCAAGTAATTGTCTATTTTGGACAAATGTAGTTTTACAAGAGAAAAACAACTTAGGCATAACCTTCTTTATCCTACCTGCCAACAACTTAGAGATGATTCTATAGAGGCTTACAATCAAACAATTAGGAGAAATTCTCCATTCTCTTGTGAATTTTCTGACTTTGCATCAAGGTGAGAAAACTTGCAATGTTGGCCTTTGGTAATTTATCATTCTCATAAAAATATTTCACAAAGAGAATTATGTCCTCTTTAAGGATGTCTAAACATATCTTTAAAAAAAACCATATTGAAGTTGTGATACAGTGGGAGAACCGACTGTTATACTGGTTTTTCATTTTTTATTCACAGATGTTGCGGTAAGCAAGAGTCGCCACCGACTTTTCATTTATCCAACAAAGGAAAGGGTGAAAAGAACAGAAAAAGACCTTTCGAGAGTTTTCTGAGTAATGGAGTAGATTATAGAAAGGGAAGGTGTTAGCACCCTTTCCATCTGTAGTTATATACGGGCTCTTAGATGCTTAGCTCATTTTGAAATACCTTGTGCTTTGTTTGTTTTGAAAAGTATTTTTGAAAGCGCCTTAGTGCGGAAAACTTTGTAATGTTTCTCAGAATGGTAGAGAACGTATACAAAGTGTTTGGAAATGTTTTTGAAAGAAGTTTTGTGTAAGTGTAAAAATTGTTTGAGCAAGCATCTAACAACTACCTAATTTACTCGAAAGGTTGTTCTTTTCCTATTTTCCTTTAGACAGTGTTATCCTACTATTAGTGAGTAGGTAGCCCTACACTACAAAAAAAACATTATTTTCTAGGGGTTTAACCCCTCACAAATGGCAAAACCCCTCACAAATACAAAATTTGCGGGGGACTGCTCCCCTAGGAAACTTGGGGGTCGCAAATAAGTTTCTGAGGGGTATTTCACGTGTGAAATTTGACAAGGGTTATGCCCCTTGCTAAGTGAAACATGATTATATAGTCTACATGCTGCAGACGTAAGCGCGTATGATAGGGGGCAGTGTGTCAGACTTTTTGCGTGGGGTTTAGCCTGTGGCAAAATGTACATGCTTTTGCGACGGGTTAAGCCCCTGGCAAAATGCAGACATGGCCATTTTCTCAGGAGTTTATCCCCTGGAAAATTGTAAAAATATTTATAAAAAAATTAATATTCATAAAATAAAAACCAGTAATATAATTGTATTAATTAAATGTATTAAAATAAAATTAATAAAATTAATATAATAAATATAATGAATAAAATTCAATCATATAATAAAAATTAAAATAAAATTTCATGCAAATTAAAATAAAGTTTTTAAGTTTAAAATAGTTAACATAAATTCTTTCATACAAATTAAAATAAATATTAAATTTTCAAAATTAAAGATTTTATTCTTGTTCATCTTGTTCTTCCCCTTGTTCTTCTTCTTCAACAATTCCTCCATATCCACTAGTTCCTCCAAATCCACCACCAGAATTTTGCGAAGCAAAAAATTGATCAAATATTTGAACTCGCTCATTTGCAATCCGCATTGCTTCTTGATACTCTTGTGCTTGCCTCCTCATTTCTTCCCGCAACTCATTTTCTCTTCTCTGCATTTCTTATTGCATCTCTAATTATTTTCTCTTCATCTTATCAATTTCTGCATTTCTTGCTGCTACGTGGAGTGCTGCCTCAGTATTCGACAAGTTTTTCACAGTTTCAAGCATTTCGGCGGTTAATATAGGTGGAGTTGATGTTCATTCTCCATCAGCAAGTCTCATTCTAAAACTCCTATCACGCCGCTTGATAATTTTAGCATACCCTTCAGCACTATACACTCTCCCATTTTTCTTCTTCCCACCTGAAACATCATACCATATCCTAAAACCCAATGCAGGATCAACAGGATATCCTGGTGGTGGTTCAAGTTTAGGATGTTGTGACAACTGTAAGGAAAGTTGTTTATTAAACTCCTCCTACAAATAAAATTAAATGTTATAAAAATTCAAATAAGCTAGGTCCATATAAAAGAAATAAATAAAATGTTTTAAATATAAGAAAAACTTACTTGAGTTTTTCTTTACCGCTCGTCAACAAACTCTCCATTTCTCTTAAGATGTGTCTCTAGATGAAGCTCATTAAGAAGTGGAGTTCTACCAAACTCTTCACGCTAATTAAATAAGTAAAAGAATAATTATTTACATGTAATCTAAAATCTAAATGATAAATTAATTAAAAAATAAATAAATTTACGTACCATCCTTCGTGCAACTTCAGCAACACTAATACTACCCGCTGCGTAGTTGCAGCCACTAGCTTCAAATGCTCTACTTTTCTTTGCCTTTTCAGATATTTCCTTAAATTTTTCAGAATTCCAATGGGCAATAAGATATTGAAATATTTCTACTCCTATCCAACATAGACGTTGCTTTTTTTCCCATTTAATTCTAACATTCCTCATGGTGTCAGAAAATCGGGCACTACATTTTAAGTGAAAATTTTCTTCAATTTGGACTTCATCTCTAACATCCCAACAACATTTCTCCTACATTGTTGTATGAATTCAAAATTAAGCTATAAAGAATCATGAATATCTCAAAAAATTTAAAGGAAAGACATCTCAAAAAATATAAAGGGATAATATACCTTAAATGCATTAAACCAATCTTTTCTGTCATCTTCAAGTACAACTCCATAACTCGGCCAAAATTTTGTATACTTCTCTTTAATAATTCCTGTTATGATCGATATTTCCTGATGGGGAAAGATCCTAAAAACCAAAATCTTGAGTTAGAATTGATTAAATAAAACTCAAATTTAAAATAATATAAAACATATATCAACACTTACGATCCAGAGTCAGGCCAAATGATAAGTCTGCCATGATAATATCCAAGTTTTTGTGGCTCCTTTCTCCTCAAGATGTTCTCCCTCCTTGTTTGCTCCTCAGTGGCACTTGTATCTTCTTGAGCACTGGTTTCTCCAGGAGCACTACTGGTATCTCCAGGAGCACTAGAATATCCAGAAGCACTGGTATCTCCATGATCATCCTCAGAAGGCATGGGTCGAGGCATGTTAGATCCACCTAGCTCCATATGAATGGGTTCACTCGACTGCATGGAAGGCATAGGAAAATATGTACTCGATCTAGTATTAAAATATGGTGTGTATCCAGTAGGACTAATAAAAGTTGTCGGGGATATGGGCAGGAATGGTGTGCATCCAGGAGGTGTGTATAGTAATCCAGTGAAAGATCTAGACATAGGTGGAGTAGGATGCTGAAGAGGTGGAGTAGGATTCATAAGAGGTGGATTAGGATGCATAGGAGGTGGAGTATGATGTGAAGTAGGATGATTTGCCACTTGACTCAATTGTGGCATAGGAATAAACAAATCTGAATCAGGCACCTCCTCTATAATGTACCTCATGCGGCGAGGCTTTTGTTGGGAGGCATTTTTCTTGGGTGGCATTTTTTATATTTGAAAGAAAAACATTAAACAATGAATGTTACATAAAAGATAATATTACATAAGATAATATTACACAGGATAATATATATTTGAAATATAATATTACACAAGTGTTAGCTGGAAATTTCGACTAAGGATTTTAAAGTTAGACTTGAATATAATTCAAGAATATTCCACTACTTTATTTATGTGAAGCCGTAAAGGTTGAGATTCGAATTGAGTAAAATTCGTTGGAAAGGTTTACCAATTCGAATTATTGAATAAAGATTGTTATTCAAAATGTGGCTAAGGTTTCAAGCATTTTTTCGTTCGACCATCTTCAGAGATTGGCGCTCAAGATAAGAAGGAGATTCGAATTCAAATACTTTGATCTTATCCAAAAAGACGCGTGGAAGGCTTTGAGTTCGTCGAAGACATGCAAACAGAAACGTGGCATTAGTTCTTGTAGAAGACCGTTAGGGTCGAAGTAGTATAAATAGTGGCTTTAGTATTTCGATAGAGGTGGTTAGCATCTTTGTACAAATTACTCAGAAATTACTCAAAGTACCAAGTGTTAAAGAGAAACGAGTTTATTGAGGATGTATGTATGATACACCCATTTAATATAAATGCATTTACTTTCTGCAAAATTTCCAGTAACATTCACTTAAGTCTTTTACCATTTCAAGTTAAGAAGTAATTTTGCTTTCACTTTATGTGCATTTTAATTCGACATTTGAAGCCATTTGTCTTCATATACAAAACATGTTAAATACAACAATCAAGTTAAAAGATTAATAAAGACACACGTGTCCTGAGATCAATCTGATTGATCTTGCAAGTAACTGGATCTGTGAAAGGATTTGGAAGATCAGCGGTTGTTTACATTCCATCCACACTCAAACTATAAAGAAGCGAGGAACTCTTATTTGTTGCATACGTCTACTTTCCAGGTGGTTTATTTTGCACCTGCCCCGATCAGTGATAAAGAACGAATAAGGTTTGAGGTGGTCTTAAAGATTGATGTCACTCACTCATGCAGATACCCATTGGTGTTCTCGATCTCAGGCAGACGTCATTCTTATTGATCGATGTGGGGAATTTCCTAATGTACCACTCCTTTCTATAAGAGGAGGCATCACTTACAAACCTTCTCTAGCTCTGCGTCTGTTTGGTTATGCTCGAAGGGACAATCCTCATGATATGCTCATCCAGGGTATTATGTTCGACTATGAGAACGATCCTCAAAATTACCATCAAAGGTTTATATGTGATTGGGGTATGGTCAAAACTATTGATAGCAAGACTTTGGGACATAAGAATTCCATTCCTCTAGAGCCTTACCTCATATGGATGCGGTCTCGTTCTCAGAGTCTTAAAATGCCATATCCTGCTATCTTTCTAGTGATCATAGAGCCTGTTATTGAAGGGGGTGTTTTTTATACCGTTCTTCATCCCGATATGCCTACTGACTTGGAAGAACTACATAAGTCATGGATTTAGCTCAATGAAGAAAGAGATACCTTCGAAGCTCAGTTCTATGCTAGTGAGAAGAAAGTATTGTAGCTGACGAAACGACTCCACGAAGAACAAAGCCTTAATGCATATGTCAACACAAAGAGAAAGCGTCCATTGGAGATTTAAATTAACATTTTTCTATTTTGTAACTCTTTTTATTGAAAGCAATTATAAATTGAACTTATTACTAAAATTTATTTTGTTTCCTTTTATTTAAACAAATTTAAATCCCGCAACGATCCTTTAAAACATTGCACTTGCATTTGCACATCATGCATATCATCACATAACAGGTACCTTCTAGACAGGTTTTCTCATCTTCTTGCTGTTTATTTCAGTAAAAGATGGCACTTGGGAAAACTGTGAAAGAACTTCAAGCTCATAACGCTCAGTTTCAGAAGATGTTATTGGACTTAGCTAAGGGTCAAGACGAGTTGAAGACCCTCATCACAAATGGGAATAAGAAGAAGACTAAAAAGCCAGCAGTCTTTCTTAACATGGGCAGAAGATTCAAGGGTCCAGTCAGAAGGGCTCTAGATTTTGAGGTTCCCCTGAATGAAGAAGATAACCAAGAGAAAGATGACGAAAGTGTGAAAGCTGAAGAGAATAATAACCTTGGTTCTCGCTAATATTCTGATGAAGACTATTCCGCTAAACAGTATCCTCCTGCTTACGACAAATACAAGCAGCTGGAAGATCGCCTCAAGGCCATGGAAATCCAGAAAGTTCCTGGATTGGATTTTGAAGAGCTGGGTCTTATTCTGGGAGTAGCTATCCCTCATAAGTTCAAGGTCCCCACTTTTGCTAAATATGATGGTGTTTCTTGTCCCAAACTTCATCTAAGGTCCTATGTTCGGAAGATCCAACCCCATACTAATGACAGGAAGTTATGGGCTCACTTCTTTCAGGAAAGTTTGTTTGGTACACAACTCGAATGGTTATATCAGTTGGAGGGAACCAAAATTCATACTTGGGAAGACCACTCTGATGCTTTCTACAAGCAGTATCAATATGATGTTGACCTTGCACCAACTCGTATGCAATTACAAAATGTGACTATGGGCTCTAATGACGGGTTTAAAGAATATGCCCAAAAATGGAGAGACATGGCCGCACGAGTTCAACCTCCCTTGTATGACCGGAAGCTAGTTGATATGTTCATGGACACTCTGACAAGTCCATTCTTTAATCATTTGATTGGGAGTTCTTCATTTGGTTTTACTGAGATGATTCTAACTGGAGAACATGTTGAAAGTGGTATCAAGAGCGGAAAAAATCGAGTGGCTGCATCTTCGAGTGATGTAAAGAAGACATCCAATGGTAAGAAGGAGACCAATGTTGTTTATAGCCATAAGGTCCATGTTAAAAGTGATTGCAATCAGTCTGTGGGAGCGGTATTAATTTCTAATCATGCGCCTGTTCGACAACAATAACAGGGCAATCAGCATATGTCAGACGCTTAGAGAAGGAAGTTTACAAAGATTAGCATGCCATTGTCTCAGGAATTACAACACTTACTGAAAGCAGAGTTGATAACAGCGAGGGAGCCTCCTCAAAATTCTAACACATCCTCTCCTCGATATAATCCGAATGCGAAGTGTGCCTATCATTCCAACATTCCTGGGCACGATACCAACAATTGCTGGGCCCTGGAAAAAAATTTAGGATATGATTGACAACAAAGAGATTGAGTTTGATCCTCCAGAGACTCTGAATGTGATTACTACACCCATGCCTAAGCACGACAAGGGTGTAAAAGCTATTGATGTTGTTTCTACTATAGAGGATATTGACAATGATCATGACTTTGACAACTGGATTTTTCCTACTGCCGACAACAAGCTCTACAATTGGAAGACTGGAGATGTTATGTCAATCTCCTTCAGACATGAGTAATTGTCATTTTCTTTTTTCTTGCTTTTCAAGTTTTTTTTATGTAACTTTTAAACAAGGACTTTAAGTCTTGTTCCTTACCCGGGGCACAACGGTTCGTTTATTAAGGGTTGTCATTTCATAAACATATTTTCATTTAATAAAAGCATTGGGCATTTTGCATTCAAATTTTGCACTCTTTGTCTTTCTTTTTTACGTTTACCATTTTCAAACAGCTATGTGTTCTTACACACCCACACAATAAATTGCAGATCCACATCCACTTTGGATCTCGTTGATAACAAATCTGCTATTGCCACTTATGACTTTGAAAATCCGATCTACCAAGTTGAGGATGAAGGTGAGGAAAATTTTGAAATACCTAGAGAACTTTCCAGACTGTTAATGTAAGAGGAAAAGGCCATACAACCACATGAAAAGTCGGTTGAAGTTGTAAATCTGGGTACTGAGACATACAGGAAATAAGTCAAGATAGGTGCCAACCTGAAGGACAGTGTCAAGAATAGGTTGATTCAAATGTTGCATGAATATGTTGAGATCTTTTCTTGGTCGTATGAAGACATGCAAGGGCTTGATACTGATATTGTGGTTCACCATCTTCCGGTGAAAGAGGGTTGTTCTCCGATAAAACAGAAGGTTCGTCACATGCGTCCGGAGATGTCAGAAAAGATTAAAGTTGAGGTTATGAAACAATTCAATGCAGGTTTCTTAGCAGTGATATCCTATCCTCAATGGGTTGCAAATGTGGTTCTAGTACCAAAGAAAGACAGCAAAGTACGCATATGTGTAGATTACATGGATCTGAACAGGGCGAGCCCTAAAGATGACTTCCCACTTCCATATATTGATGTTTTGGTTGACAACACCGCTCAATACAAAGTATTCTCCTTCATGGACAGTTTCTCAGGTTATAATCAGATCAAGATGGCGCAAGAGGATATGGAGAAAACTACCTTCGTCACACAGTGGGGCACTTTCTGTTACAAGGTTATACCTTTTGGGTTGAAGAATGTCGGTGCAACATACCAGCATGCTATGGTAGCCTTATTCCATGACATGATTCATCACGAGATAGAAGTCTATGTCGATGATATGATAGCCAGATCTCAGACTGAAGAAGAGCATCTTAACCATCTACACAAGTTGTTCGAGAGGCTGAAAAAATACAAGTTGAGATTGAATCCGAACAAGTTCACCTTTGGGGTGAGATCCGGTAAGCTTCTGGGTTTCATCGTCAGCGGTAAAGGTATTAAGGTCGATCCCGCCGAAGTCAAAGTTATTCAAGAAATGCCCACTCCCCGTACTGAGAAGGAAGTCATAGGTTTCTTGGGACGACTGAATTATATTTCTCGATTTATCTCTCATTTGACTGCTACTTGTGAGCCGATCTTCAAGTTGCTGAAGAAAGATCAGGTAGTAAAATGGAATGACGATTGTCAGATAGCCTTTGACAAAATCAAGTAGTACCTAAAAGAACCTCCAATTCTGATACCACCAGTTGAAGGAAGACCTCTAATCATGTATCTAATAGTGCTAGAGAATTCAATGGGGTGTGTACTGGGCCAGTATGACAAGTCTGGTTGAAAAGAGCATGCAATATACTACCTTAG